ATAAATGTGTATCACGTTCAACCTTCTACAACTGGGTTACTCAGTTCCGTGAAGGCAGAACATGTGTTTGTGACAGGCCTAGGACTGGGCGGCAAGCTGAGGCGGTGACCTCAAAAATGGTAGCAAATGTTAAAGCTTTTGTCAACAAAAATCGTCGAGTAACTTTGGAGGAGGTAGCCAACAAGTTTAGCATCGGTAAGGCATCGGCACACAAGTTTTACACGAACACCTAGGCATGAGCAAGGTAAGTGCCAGGTGGGTGCCTAGACAGCTGTCCGCAGATCAAAAGGCAACCAGAGTAACCAATGCAAAAGAACATTTAAGTCGTTTCAATCGTGAAGGAGATTAGTTTTTGAACCGGATTATCACTGAAGATGAGATGTGGGTTCCTTATTCCGAACCTGAGACAAAAGCTCTGTCAAAGCAGTGGAAACGAGCTGGTTCCCAACCTCCTAAAAAGGTTTAAGCTGTCTCCTTCGGCTGGCAAAGTCATGCTTGTTGCCTTTTGGGATTCACGAGGAATGATACTTACTCATTTCATGCCAAAAGGTCAAACTGTCATCGCCAAGTACTATTCTGAAGTAATTCTGAAAAATCTCAAAGAAAAGCTGAAGCTAATGCGTCCCAGGTTAGCACAGAAAAATGTCCTCCTTCTTCACGACAACGCCCCCCTCCCATATCGCCGCAGCTACAGTGGAGGTTATCAACTCTTACAAATGGCAATTGTTGTCTCACCCTCCCTATAGCCCAGACCTTACCCCCTGTGACTTTTATTTGTTTCCAGAACTGAAAAAATATCTTGCTGGAAAGAAATATAAGACCAGGGCGGCTTTGAAATCTGCTGTTACACAGTACCTAAAACATAAGTCTACGTCATGGTTCACAGCGGGAATACCAAAGCTCCCACGAAGATGGCAAAAGTGCGTAGACGTAGGTGGAGAATATTTTGAAAAAGAGTTGAAAGATTTTTTTTTAAATGTTGAATGGTTTTCGAGAACGAGTCAAAAGTCCGGTATTTTCTGACTTCCCCTCGTATTTATGCTTAAATAATGTCGGAATTGGAGAAAAATGCGTTGGTGTCTCGATTCAAATTTTCAATCTGTCAAATCAGCACATTTATGAGACAATATATAGAGATAAAACTGCGGTGCAGGGTCTGAAGAAATATATGGCTAGATACCTGATCTAGTTCCTTATAAGAAAATTACAAGAACATCTTTAAGAAACTGAACTACTTGTAGTATGGACCGGAATAAAATCACCTATCTGTCTTCGCCACAAATAATCCTCCATCTTGAAAATACTATACTGTAACCGGAAAGAGCAATACTGTAACACGTTCCCTACGGTGTAAATGTATCAACTTCATGAATCTAAATTTAACAATAAATGTTTGAATAATTATTCCAGCAGTATTTCATTTTCATAATTGTAAACATCATATATGTAAAAATCCTTTTTATATCTAAAGATATGTAAAACAAATTGTACTTGCAGATATACAAAACATATTTTGTCACAGATATTTAGAAATATACTATTACTACAGATGCTCAAAAACATAGTGTTCTTTTTTAACTTTCTAAAAACATTTTGCTTTACATATAATCTAAATAAATTAATGTAACTGATTTTCGTGATAAATTGTCTTTTCTCCTTTGGTTTGTTTTTAGAGTACATTTTGAGATCAATGATTTGTTTCCATCTCATGCATTTGATTAGACAGACGTAATTTCCAGTTGAATGTTGTATATTTCAACTGCAAATAACGTTTGACCTTTCACATCATCTATCCGGAGTGTTTTGTTATGACTGATCGAAATAATTTTTATAATACTGGCACGTTTGTAACGTCATTTTTCATTGGATAATCTTGACGTTTAATAGTTGTATTTCTGATCGAAGATCAGGAAATACAAAGCTAACATTCAATCTCTTACACAGCGGTTTCACGACAAACCTAACAACAAGTATTTCTTAAAACAGCTTAAACCTAGCGATTTAAAAGAAATAGTTTTATTTTGTTACAAGTATCCAACAAATTACAACGCATTAAAAGCTTAAAAGTAACTTATATCCCTCATGTACAGACTCAATCAAACCGAGTCTGCAATTCTCTTGTAATTTTGTTGTGATTAATGCTTCCGATGGATCACTTTGTTTCCAGAATTTTATAGAATTCTTATTAGAGTTATAGAATTGTCAATAAATGTACATTCACAAATTACGCGGATGGATATGAATTTAATCAATGAAAATTCTATTTTTAGCGCTGTCGATTACCGAATACTACACAAATAAATCTGACTGTCGAGTAGTGGAATATATACATGTAAGACTGTTTTGGCGAGCAGATTTTTGCTAAATTATTTACACCAATGTTAAACAACAGGTTTATCATGAAATGAACACAATGCCTCGAAATATATAAGGATTACAAACCCGAAATGCAATGGAAATTCTTAATGTAGTATTAGCTGATATTATTCAGATCCTTAGTATAACTTCTCCGTGGTGCAAGGGTAACGCGCTCGTTTAGAGTGTCAGAGGTCTGGGGATCAAATCCCATTCAAGGCAACTATTTGTTTTAAATTTTTTTAAAGTTTCTTCGTTAAGGAAGTAGCCACGTTATGCTAGGATAAAGTGTGGCTGTCATACAAATGAACATAAATGATTTTTGATGCAACACTAGTCATGCAAAATTCTGTATGTATCAAACTCTGGTGCCCTGCAAGAAGAATTATAGTACATAAAATAAACTTATACAGGAAAATAATACAGATATAAAGTGCGATTTAGATTGCAAAGATCAGAAAATACCACAGAGTTTGCAGCCCTTTGATTTACCACATGGGTCACAGAATTTCGACAAGAAGATTATTGTTTATTCCAATGGGGTCGACATTTTACTTATTATCAGAGAGGGTCATAAGTCAAGAATTTGCTGGTTTTCACTAGTTTTTGCATGATTCGCTGAAAAACGTTTATTTATGTTATCCAAATCCCCGAAGTGATTAGCATTTTCCACCATAACAGAGCCAGTCCAGCTTGCACATCCGTGCAGTTTGCAAAATTTCAAATGAATTCGTTTTAATTCTTTAAACTTTGTTAAGCCCCTGAGGCATAACCGTAAAGTCATACATTTAACATTGATATATAACAAAGTCTTCATATGTTTAAGTCATTTTCCAGACAACTGTTCTAGGTTCCGTATTAATAATGGCAGTACCAAAATAATTGATATGTCTACTACTTCGATATTATGGCCACGACTCATTTTGGCTTAATCGCCCTTCTAACGAAAAACCATAATTTTTGTTTTGAACGTATTTACTTTAAGACGCCAAACATTTAATATAAAACTTAATTATCTCAATGTATTTGATTTTCTTCTTAAGATTTACCTAAAATAGCCTTATCATCTGCAAACAGAAGTAATTTAAGTTTACAATGTCTTCTATATTCAAATCAGATTCAATATCGTTTTGTAAATATAGCTTTAAACCATGTACATACAAATATAGAAACTAGTATGGGGCAGTGTTTTAAGCTATAATATCTGCTGCACATAAATTTCAGAATATTTAAAAAAAAGAGAATCCTATAAAGAAAACTGTATGCAACAAGTACTTTTGTATATTTCATTAAAAGCTAATGACAAATGCATTAATTGGTGCTGAACTGTTAAACCCTAATTAAAATAGCGGCATAATACATGTATTCTTGTTCCTGTTTACATTAAATATTCATGGGTTTAATAACAGAGTCATTTTATATGTTTCAACTCTTCTTTTTTAATCGACCTTTAAATCATGGAAAGAAGATAAATTTACCGTTTAAACATCTTATTAAAATATTTCGTTACCTATATGGCTATGTATAATTTAAATACATACTCTCGTAACAGAGACATTCAATGGTGAAACTCTTTTTAGACCTGACCATAATATTATGCAAACAACATAATTTTACTGTTTATAAATTTTAAAACAATATATCATTACATTTAGCCTTTATACAATTAAAGGATCAAGTAAGCTTTCTAATTCTATAACAATTATAATAAGTTTTAATGTACCTGCTGAAATCCCGCATATACCAAAGATCTAGGTGAATGTTAAAATTTCAAAAATATAATTTTCACATACTCGAACGATACCACGTGAAGCCAATGATTGTAACACAGATTGAAGTGCAAAAAGTGTTTGGGTCAAAATCGAAACTGCCAATTTCATATCTAAGTTTACACATATTTAACATATTCAAATAGGTTTATCTACTGACTCTTTTGTTAAAAGTGGTCTTTTATTTACCGATAGCTTAAAGGGACATTAATTATGTCTCAGTTTCTTTTTATCAGAAAGGGCAAATACGACAGAGTTTTTATAACGCTTAAATAATAGTTCACATTAAGGCTATAAACTTGGTGGGACTTTTTATATTTAGAACAAAAAAAGAGTTTCAATGTTATAGCCTAACTGTCCCAACCCATTTGCATTTTGATATATACTCATTATTTGTATGATATGTTTGTAAACATGTATTTAATGCAATAAAATATGTTTAAACTAACTGTCCATTGACCCGGGATACTATAGGGTGGTTGTATTTTTAGACTCTTTTACCTATTTCATAAAATGTTTTGGCGGGTAAAAAATAAAAATCTAGGAAAAATCTGTGAAAATGGTTGTTTTTTTTTGTTCAAAATATCTTAAGTTTGGAGGGTTTCGTGTTGTATACATAAAAAAATCATCATTTACAATCACGCTTGCCTATAACATCCACCCAGTCTGTCTTTTTTGAGAATGCAAATTGGCGTCCGAAGATTAAATGATGCTGCCGATGTGTTTTCGAGTCAGGAACGCTCTGAAGACGCGCTATCATGCACAAACGATCGAAGCAGACGACATTTTACTGCAAAAGTAATTGGAGCGAATTTAAAGTGAAGATACCCGACACATATCATTAGATGTTTACTTCCACTTTGTAAATAATACTGACCATAGATAATATTGTTATCATGTTCAACAAAACGAGGTCAACATTTAGAATTTAACATGTACATGAGCGAGCAAAGGGGAGATAAGTCAACCGGTCATTTTTGTGATGATTCACTGGTGATAATTGGCTTTAGAAGGAAATTTTATAAACTAAAACTGCATGTCGGTGCAAATTAAGTAATTGACCTGGAGATGGTCAAATATTTGACACCGATACACGATGGAATATAAAGGTATAAGGTTGGCAATTGACAATGACGGATTAGCCATTGTAACGATGTGTAACAGAGATAATAAATTTACCATGGATTATGTTAAAACATGGAATAAAGTACTGGACGACATAGAAAAGTAAGTGTACGTCTATTTCTGTACGTAGATTCATATGCACAAGTTTCCTGTAATTTGAGTTTTACCTGTAACTAAGTAAATATGTATATTACGTAATATCCGGTCACTAGAGCTAACAAATCGGCATATTATATTCGGCCACAAACTAAACAAATAAGGATACTACACGCTACATTACTTTTTTGATCAGGGAAAAGAGCTGCACACTTCTATACTTCACGCTATTTTACAGTGGTGCTGATCAGGGGAAGTAACTTAACAGTCTTCTCGATATTTACATCATGCTACTTCATTGTGTTAATCAGGGGAAGTAACTGCTCATTTATCTCGTTGTTAACCTCATGTTACTTAATTGTGCTGATTAGGGGAAGTAACTGCTCATTTATCTCGTTGTTACATCATGTTACTTAATTGTGCTGATTAGGGGAAGTAACTGCTCATTTATCTCGTTGTTACATCATGTTACTTAATTGTGCTGATTAGGGGGAGTAACTGTTCATTTATCTTAGTGCTAACATCATGCTACTTAATTTTGCTGATCAGGGGAAGTAACTGTTCATTTATCTCATTGTTTACATCATGCTACTTCACTGTGCTGATTAGGAGGAGTAACTCCACAGAGATGAAAGATTACGTCTCATTGCTTTTCCGCGTTGTTGCGCATGTTGCGCACAGTTGCTGGACATTAAATGTTATCGACACTTTCATTGTAATGTTATAGTCAAATGTCTCATGACTTTACAATATTTTACATGATTTATCTTTGTTACTCAATTGCAGAAATGAAAATATAACAGGAATGATTACAGTTGGCGAGGGAAGAGCTTTCAGTACAGGTCTAGATATCAATTGGTTAAAATCACAAAGTCCGACCACTCTTGATGTGTATCACGATGAGCTTCATAAGCTTTATAAACGTATTATCTCCCTTGGAATGACAACTGTTGCTGTAATTAACGGTAAACTAAATCTATGATTGTTTTGTGTGAATCTTAACAACCTTTTTGAAAAGATACTTTTTACACGTGACATGGTGCACGTTTCGGTTAAATTGTTATACAAAGTGTCTTAAAAGGGTGTATTTTGTTATCATTTGTAAATGTACCTTAACAACGCCAACTGGCAGTCAATTATCTAGGATGAATTCACTACTTTGCAGTTTTGTTGAAACTTCTCTTCCATAAGTAACTCAAATATTTCTTAGACCCGTTTCTTAGTACCATTTTACTGGTGAAATGTTGTTGTTTTTTTCCGTTGTTGTCATATAATGAATGATTTATAATTCTTTAATTAGCAATTTCCACGCATTTAATTAATTCATGATTTTAAATGTTCAGAGATATACATATTACGTATATATACATAAGGATGAACATTAAAAGTAAAACGAATAAATATTCTTTTCAATTCTGCTATATTCTGTACATTTATACATACATTTTTACACGTGCTATGGACAACTTCCGGTATAACTTCAGGACACGCCATAGCTGAAGGCGCCTTCATGGCTCTAATGCATGACTACAGAATCATGAGGAAGGACCGGGGCTGGATCAACTGGCCAGAGGTGCATTTAAAACTACCATTCACCAAAACCATGCTCGATCTTTTCCGGTAACTTTAGTTGATGCTCTTCTTTTCGCTCGTTTTATTATCTTAGATGGGACCCAACACGTTTTTTATTGTAACTTAGTTATGTTCAGTATGTTTAGTATCTTTAGCTGTTACAGTTGCATGCTTCCAAATGAGCCAAAATATATCCCGAAATGAACCTTGATAAAAATGTACTAAGATTTTAAGAAAAGTGTAAATATTCACAATTCACAAAACAATTTAAAAGTTATATGCAATTAATTTGCAGGCTGCAGTATTTATCAACTTATTTCTACACATCAAAGGCTTTTTTGTATATTTTGATCTATTTTTGGTAGATTCTGGAAAGTGTTGAAAAAAACAATATCTCTGTCACTTTTCTCGTGTAATATTACAGTGTCAAAGTACAGAACGGAGCTGCAGTCCGCGAAGCTTTGGTATTTGGCAAGCGTCTAGACGCCGAGACTGCCAAGTCTTTAGGTATTGTTGATGTAACCGCAACAGAAGAAAACATGATGAGTAAAGCGAAAGAAACTATAAAGTATGCACTCGGAAAAGTATCGGTGACACGAGGATTTTTTAATGATATGAAAAGTGATATGTATAATAGTTTTGTGGTACAAGAAAAACTTGCCGGCAAATTGTGATATTGTGTATGACAGACTTCCTAAAACCTACAGAATTTCACAAGTAAAATATGCCACGATATTTGAACCTGTGAAGCAGATACAAAGCCGAACAGGAGAAAAGATAAAAAAAGAGGATTGTTCGTAACCTTACGTTGCTATTTTTATATACATCAAAGGGAAATAACCCTTAAAAGAACAAAGTCATGCTATAAGGGATATTCTCCCTTGAAGTTTCAAGCCGTTAGCATGAACTTTATATAATAAAAGACAATAATTCAAAGGTTCTGAAGTGAACAGTTAGACACTACTCCTCTGTCAAATATACCCACCAATGAAGTTTCTTGCAATACTTTGAATATTCAGCGTGAATTTCATATTGATATGAGATATAGCCTGAACAAAAATTAGATGAGAAAACAAACAAAAGAAAAGTTAAAATAATGAAATAAAGAGTTAATATTCTCGTCATCTACACTTCTCAATGAGAAAAATCCACTGATGAAGTTTCAAATTGAAACCCCCAAAAAACTGGTTGAGATATGATGAAAATAATTATGCAAAAAATATACAAAGGGCAATAACAAATATCATTTATACCACTGCCCTTCTCCGAAATGATGTCTATACACCTGTAAATAAGTTAAGCCCACCCGGCATTTTGCCTCAATTTTGACATGACCGCAACTGAAATTTTAAATATTATTTGGGCAATAGTACGAACCACCTGTAGTCAACCTGAAACAACTGGAACAAACTCTGCACCAATAGTGGCAAAATTTAACCTCAAAATCGCATAAGACACCTTACTGGTAGTATGAGGAGAGGGGTTGAGGCTATCATCCGGGCATTTGGCGTTTACACACGTAAATGGTTACATAATGTCATTTTAGGTTACGTAACCGTCAATATTTACCAAAAATATCAACCAGTAAATGTTTTGTAAACGCTCCAACACCATACTTATAACACATTCTTGGTAAAAACAACACATTTGCTTATGCTTCAATAATTTTGGTTAAGAATAAACTAAACTCATAAATTTACTGGTTTATGATAACTAAATTGGTATCGCTACTTATCAAATTACTACAGTATTTCTTAGCTCAATTAAGTCGTCATCTCATGACAGTGCTTTCCATTACAACCAATTTTAAATTTCCGGGATGTACTTAACTTAAAGAGCACGCCTCCAGATTCCTGCTAATGTTCATGAAAAATTTGAAACTGTATTCAAAAGTAAAATATTGTTAAGCTGACAGAGAAAATAATATGCACATTTCAAACGGCACTTACAACCAATGTAAATTACAAAAAAAGAGGTCAAAATATGCAAAATTAACCCTTACTGCGTTAGTAACGCAGTAGAAATATGGTGAAAATTACTGAAAAATTGGCCATCAATCTTTGATTTGATATTATGAAACAGATTTTATTTTATATAAACACTTTGGAGGCAGTGTTTGATTGCTGAAATAATTTCCCGACATATCGTATGGCTGACATTTCGAGACAATATGGCAAATGTCAGGTGTGACAATGGTCTTACGTTGATAGTTTGTACTTTTATCGTTGGGGCGTGACAGAATCTATTACATGAACAAAAGCTTACGAACTAAGGTTTTACCATCTTAATAAATACTCTCACATGTCTGACCTAATTAACTCTTAACCTCATGAGCATATTGTAAGAAATGGCCGTTTTCATTGAAAAGCCTCCTGTTACAAGTTCAAATTGCTATGAAACTATGAAAAAAAGGCTTCAATACTGATGAAACTTAGCACAAATGTTGACAGCATGCTCAATCTTAAATTTCCTCTTAACATGGCAAAAACGGGGGGGGGGGGGACTTCTCAAAATTGCCAAAAAATCACTATTTTGCATCAAAACTGATGTCAAAGTGCTGCAACTTTTCAATGGATTGAGATAGAGTAAAAGGCTTTTCAGCGTTGATAACGTTACCTAACGATTGACATGAGGCCATTTTTAGCCTGTCACATGTTCAAAATTTTCTTGGCGATGAGGGGGACTACCGACCCCTTTCAACCCCCCCCCCCAAAAAAAAAATTAACAAAAAAAAACAGAAGGGGGCACATCCCCCTTCTGGCAACCCCTTGATGTACCTTTTTGATAGGGGGCGGCGCCGAAAAAGTGATCACTTTTTTTATCAACATTTCTCAAACGAAAAACAGTGTTTGGGGCCTAAATAGGGCATTTTTCACTGTTTGAGGCCTCAAAAAGGGGGATCGAAAAGCCGTCAAAACACGTCTATATGAGGTAAAGGGTTTAAAGCGATGCACATGCGCAAAATCCAGCTTCCGTTTATAAGGAAATATCATTATGTAAAATGTAAATAAAGTCATTATCTCATTGCCCAAGGTTGCTCCATAGCACAGAGCCATACACTCTTGTCGTAGTGATTTTTTTTATCTTATGATGTTAATGAGTCTGAACCAACTGGGTACATACACCATATGCTCGTTATATATGTTGTTTGTCCTAGAAAGCTTTTCGCCACTTAAGACCTTTAACAATATTTTCGACTTCTTCAGAAATACGTGGGCTCGAATAAAATCCCCCAAGATTTTGATTTTACTGATAAATTATTTTCGACTTCTTCGGAAAAAATTCTTCCAGGATTCAAGTTTTACTGGTTAATTCTATCTAAGAATCTTAATGATAATCTAAATCTTTTGTTGAAATATTACAAAACACACGTTTATCTTTTCTAAAAATAGCAAAACAAAACAAAATAATCTTGTTTAATATGCTCAAAGTTCTGCATCATGAAATGCCTTTCAAGACACAGATCAAAATCATTGCTAACATACAGATTTATTTAGACACCTGTTTCAATTTGATAAAAGGGGGAAACTACGGAATCCTTTTCTGTCTCTTTTTTGCCATCAATAGATTTACAAAAAAATAGTGTGACATATTTATTATACCTCGTGTTTAGAAATCTTTAACAAGAGGAATACTTTGTACTGTCTGAAAAATAGAAAAGATTGTCGAGGCTGAAATCTCTATTGAAATGGAGCATGTGATGGAACGGGGGTGCAGGGGGGGGGTGGGAAGGTCCAAAAAGTTTTTTTTTCGTCGAGTAAAATTCTGAAATGAATATGTCATCATCTGACTTTGGATTGTTGGCATATCTAACAAGTAAGTTAAAGCAATTAAAAAAAACTTTAAAACTAAAATACTTATATCGAGATAATTTCAACAGATTTGTAAATGTTAATTTGAAAACGATAAAAATATGTTGTTTTTTTATCATAATCTAAAGACTATATTGATTGTTCTACATACATTCTGTATTTGGAGAAGAACAACAGCAAACAAATAAACATCACTGATCAACATTAAGCATAACATTGCGCAGAATTTCCATCATACTTCATCAAAATTCAATATAAATCATCAATATTAAACGGAGTGATGAACGGAAAAATCAAATGTTTACGTAGTGCAATTGCAGAAAGTATGGTTTTATATTGGATTATTTTCTATTTGCTGACAATAAAAAATCACAGGTAACGTACATGTTTCTTATTGGGAAAACTGAAAGAACCAGGTAGAAGATATCGGAAATAGGAAATATTTCAAGAAACATATTTAGTTGTACATGTGTGTGTGGCGGACTTAGATCGCAGACTTTAGGCAGAAAAAAATGACAGCCAGTGGCCCTGCAGAAATTGGAAGAAACCCTGCATTTGTTTGGATAATGTTGACGTTTTGCTTGATAGGTAAAATATTTACTGAGATTTGTAATGTAATTTGTTTTCAACCTTTTGACAAAACATACACTTTTTTCATAATTGTACAGATTATGATTCATATATTTTTTAATTTGAAAGCTGATGTACCGAATTGGGTTAACTGTATCCCACTAAATATCTTAATTTGTCTTGTTCATCTTTCAATCTGGACAAAACCATTTTATCATTTTAGGGACAGTTTCATAAATAATACTGATTAAAAAGTTATGATCTTTGTCTGCACTTATCCATTTGCCGCCAAAAGGGTAAAGGTTAAAATGTACGCTCTTTTGTCCACGGAAATTTAACAATGACATATTATTTTTATGACAGAATATGATGTGTCTAATGTGGACTTTGTCTTCAAATTTCAACAAAACATACAGGCATTAATACACTTCATCGCTGTGAAATTGATATTATATGCAGTTATTACATTTATTTTATAATATTTGTAGGAAATGAATGACGTAGACTTATGATGGTGGCAAATAGGTGTCATTTTGTGTACTTTTTATTTATCTTGTTGCAATGACATGATTTTCTAGTTCGCACGAGACATATAGACAAGTGCACATGTCGCCTCTATGCCACCGTACAAAACTTTTGGTTTAAACATATTTATTTAAGCTCGATTGCGAAACAAGTTCTTGCAACTTATATTAATCACTTTCGAGTCCGCTTCCTGGAACCAACCGGTACTGGTGTCGTCTGAAGGAACATAGTCGTGACCCGAGTAGGGCTCGAACCCATGATCTCTGGGTTGAGACGTATACACCTTAACCACTAGGCCACCGATCCCTTTATAATACTTTTGGATATCATTGATACAAAATGTGGTTTTTTTTTTGGCTTTTTTGTGGGGGGGGGGGGGGTTCTATGGCACTGACAAATATCCACCAAACGCCAAATAGTGGTCAATATACGGTGCTATCGTACAAACGGTTAACAAGTACAAAACTTACCGCGGAAAGGGCCAAACTCCTTACAGTGATTTAATTGGCTGTATGCACTTTGTACAGCGGTATTGCGTAGGTGCTTGAGAAAGCGCCTTCAGACATTGAGTCAGAATGAGGAACTAACTGTATCTTGAATTTAATGTCAGATTCGATATTTATATCTAAATATGGTAAACGTCTATCATTTGTTGTACATACATCTTTTTGGTGGATCAGGTGCTACTAGCTACCAACATGGAGAGACTATGAAATATAGAATATTAAAAACGCATCTGTTGATAACAAAAAACGTCATTATAAATTAAATAACAGCATATTGAAAATAAATCAACATCTATTGTAACATAAAGGTCAAACAATCGCTAGGACAAGGAAGAAAGCTTTCTAATGATGTTTTTATCAAGCGCATGAAAAACGTGAATTTATGGTATTTCAAACTAAAAAGAAGGGCAGGGAAACTCATTTGCATAAATTTATGTAATACATGTACCTCCATGAGCACTGGAAATTGGTCGCATTATAGACGATAATGCATATTGTATTTATGTTTTCGCACAATACAATAACAAAAAGGCAGTGAAATGCTCGCATCTGTTTCCTCCCTCCAATCCCCCCCCCCCCCCCCCCAAAAAAAAAAAAAAAAAAAAAAAAAAACAAAACAACAATAACAACAAAAAACAAAACAAAAACAACAACAACAAAAAAACAACAAAAACAAACAAACAAAACAAACAAACAACAACATGCTAGTACATTTTTGGTGTAATATGGCCAATACAATACAATACAATACAATACAATTCAATGCAATGCAACGTAATGCAATGCAATACAAGTACATTAAAAGTAGTATATAAATACTTGGGTCAGAGGAGATGCGGGGAATCGAAACGGCTTCCCCTGCACAAAACTTTCCTTGTATTATTCGATCATATTAATCCTTCAACGTTATTCATTTTGTTCACATATAATAATATTATACTCAATTCATTCCTTAATTCATTCCCTTTTGTTCATTTTTTGTCATGTATAAACCAGTGGCATCGTTTGTCTTCAAATTGCTTGTGTTCATTTTTTTTCTCGCTTATTTGCAAATATTGCAATATTAAACAGGAATATCGTTTGTTTGTTTTTTTTCTAATACTGCAAATGTTTCAATATAAACCAGCGACACAATCCGCGGCATCGCTTTTGTTCAAATACTACAGGGTTTATCAGGTTTCATATCTCTTTTGTTACTCAATAATTTTTAAAGGCTTCAGAAAGGAACCTATTTCTTCTTCTTTAGAAAGAATGAGTTTAATAACGTTTAAATAAGGTTTTTCATGTAAGATGCTTATTACCTGAAGGTAGTAGCAGTGAAGGTGAATTTATGTGTCATAATAGTAGCTAAATGTAAACAGTTATAGTAGTATCTTGACTTCCATACAAATTACTAAATCATTATAACTGTACTCTTGCCAGAAAGCAAAAGAAGCAAAAGATGAAGTAGGTAATTGGCCAAAGAGTAACATATTGGAAACAATAACGGAACAGCAAAATGAGAAGAAAGACTAAAGCAATTTCTAAGGCATATTGTGCCTTTAATTTCTTTTTTTGTTGCTAAAATAAGGAAAATAATGCCTGATTCGATTACATGTTGTTCTTTCTTTTTTCAGCGGTGCTCCTGAACATTTTTGTGATTTTTGTTGTGGTAAAATTCGGGCGTTACAGAGCGTCTATTGACATATTTCTGACTAACCTGGCGGCCAGTGATATCATACATGCGGGAATCGTAATCCCTGTGCATTTCAAAAATGTTACAGCTGACAGTCAGGATTTTTACGGAGGTAAGTTATACAGATGTAATTATTTTATAGACGAATATCCTTTCGATTTCCTTCTTTAAATATTAGCTTTTACAACTTCTATTATTGCAAGTAAAATGTTGACTTTATTATTATTATTATTTTTCTTCTTCTTCTTCTTCATCTTATTATTATTATTATTATTATAATTATTATTATTGTTGTTGTTGTTTTTGTTATTATTCTTATTTTTATTTTTATTATTATTATTATTATTATTATTATTATACATTTATATGCAATAACATTAACTCATTATCATCTAAAATATCATAGGATATTAAAATTAATAAACAAGCCATACAAACATGAACATTCAGTGATTATTTATTGCAGACATTTCGGCTAGATATTTTTATCAGTGCAAAACATTTTACTTTTTATATAGAATATTAAACACGCTGTCTGCTGCGATTAGTCTGCTAATTTCAAGTTTAAAGATAAATAGTATGAAATAAAATATATGACACTTACTATGAACTTAGGTCCTCTTTGGCCAAGTGGTAAAGGCTGGTGCTCTCACCCCGCTGTCAGTTCGAATCCCTTCAGGGAATTAAGATTCTTTTAAGTGGGGATCTTATCCAGCCAGCTTACGGACGGTCGTGTTGCTTTTGTTACTCAGATGTCGCTCGAGCCTTACACAATGCGCACACAGGTTTTTAAGGTCTCCCTCAAACCAACCTGTACAGTTTGAATATGGCTATTGAATGTGACTTAAACCCCCAACAAAACTTATATTAGATTGGTTGAATACCCGAATGCGGTGTTAAACAAACACACACGCACACACACCTACGAGTACGGTCTTTAGACAAACAATGTAAATAAACACACAGAGTTTAATTGAAGTAAGGGATGATTTCAAGGCAATGATAAAGACATAAGACATAGACAATCTGATAACAGGTAGCTGTTAAAAACATCATAAAACACTAGAAAAGAACATCAACACACAAAAAAAACACACGTCGCATAATTCCATGATAAAATGATACATAATTATGCAGTATAGAAATTGAAAAAGTATGGTTAAATATAAAATAAGGTCAAATGAAAGCAAAGCTCGATTCGGAAAAAAAACTTTCAAAAAAAGAGTAAAAAATAAAATAACATAAAGGCACAAAAAGCAAACGACGAAGCTCATTATATTAAACAATGTAGTGAGAGAGAGAAAAAAAATGTATAAATCTTGAATTTGACAATAAAGAAAAATAAGACAGAAAACGTTATGATTACATCTGTAGAAAACATATTCAGAAAACTCAGAGACCATCATAGGCAAAAAACAAACAAAAACACAACCAGTTAAAAAAATATCAAGTGAAAAAATGTCACATTAAACCAGTGCTGGTGAACTTGTAAAATTGAAAATGAAAAATTGAAATCATGAAAAAAGCAAAGCCCTTATTGAGGATAATCGTAGATACATTATTTATAAAACAATACTTAAACACAGTTTCCCTGTAGGATGACACTAAATCCAGATAAAAGTAGTGCCTGGCTAATAAACGGCAATATCCACAGGAAAACGATACAAATAATCAGTTTAAATGTGGAAGATTGTTTTGCCAGTTTACCTGTCAGCTATATGCATGGACAACGCCATGTTTGTTCTCGAAATTGTGAAAATTACCTATTCAGTATTGGTTTTTCAGCGGTTAAAATTAGAAACCGCACCGCTTCAATCTTGTAAAATCTCGCCGATGATTGGCTGTTTGAAAGGTCACGAGAAGTGCCCTCTAATTGGTGCCCGTAAGATCCTAATGCGTAGCGTTATTTAGGAGATGGTTTCGCGTACCTTAATATGGAAATCTGGTTGCGACACCTAACGGAAATGACGTTAATGACACGCAGTACCGAAAATGGAAAAAGACATTTTGTTTTTCAATTCACAAACACGATTTCATTGATTAAACGGGGCTATGAGCTCATGGGATGTCAATTTATAAGTGAAACACAGTGGATCTTTGATAATGTTCGTTTGTTACAATATCTTCTGCTAATATTTTTTTTGTATTTTACGTCATTCACCGACCATAAATACATGTAGAGACTTACAATATTATCAAAGATTAAAACCTAATTGATCCTTTTATAGAATTACATTGTGCTATCAAAATATTACACGGATAAGCACTAATCCAATACTGCAGCGAAGATAAGAAGTTTTTCTTGAATCAAGTAATTTGTATTAGTATACAATACGTGAGTGCGATATTGATGTTTGTCATTAATTATGTTACACTATTGTTTATCTTGTTTCCGATTATATCAATGGAAATTAGAAGTGAAACTATTTCTGATAGTTCATTTGATAAAAACAGTTGCTTAAAGAAAGTATTCTTATTGAACAGAACTTGATACTTGATAATAAAAGACAGACTTTTTAAAATTTACGTAAGTTATAAATGAACTAAGATACCACACAGTAAAGCGCTATGATAAAATCAAGGTCACAATACATTTAATCTGGAATTCAGTTTCATTTAGATAAATCATATTGTTCATCTAAAACAATTGATTTTCTAGAACTTGTCATTTTCTAGAAGCTGATGACAGAACTTTTATAGATAATCAAAATATTACTTTGTTGTTATAATGAAAATTTCCACAAAAATGTATATTTTACTGACGGGTCTAATATTGATAAAAATTTGAGAAATTGTGATGTTACAAGTTTGTCATATGATGAATCGTTAAAGCTTGAAGGTCTCCTTTCAGATTATGGATTTTTCTTACATTGAAAATTATTAAAACATGATAAAAGTCTTTTGGAAATAGGAGATTTTTTTGCCAAATAATAAATAAATAAAAATAAAAATATGTAAAGGTTGATGATGAAATATACACAGAATTAATAGAATATCGTTTTTTATGCGAATCTTAGTCTTACTTTGGTAAAAAGCGTTGACATAAAAATGTCCCGACCCATCTGCCGATTCAAGATGAAGCAAATGCTTTTCAAAGTGAATTGAATGGTGACTGATTTGGACCATTCGTGTTTTCGCCCCGCGCATAGCGAAATGTCGTGAATTAACAACGCGAACACACGCTTATTAGCGGGAGCGCGTGGCGAAGTTTTATAAATAAATAAATAAATCTTCGCCCCGCGGGGGCGCAGAAATAAAACGCCAGGGGTGCGGAGCGAAAACACGCTTATTAGTGGGGGCGCGGACGAAGTTTAATAAGATAAAACTTAGACCCGCGCCCCGCTAAGTAGCGTGTTCCCCACCAAGCTAAAAGTTGAAAATAAAAAGTTAATACGGCGGGGTTGTGGAACGGAAAAAACTGATTAGCGTGGGCGCGATTCTTTTGATAAAACGTCGCCCCGCGGTGGCGCGGAGCGATATTTTAAAAATTAAACGGCGGGGCGCGGGCGAAAACAAGTTTAATTAGTTTAATTGTTTAATTAGTTTTATTTATAAAACTTCGCTCCGCGCCCCGCTATTAAGGGTACTTTTGCTCTGCGCCCCGCCATTATAACTTTTTTTATTCTCGACTTTTCGCTTGGCGGGGTCACAGGGCGAAAACACTAATGGCAAAAATCAGCCACCATAGAACTGGTCTACAATGGTCCCATTTTTAAAGAAATATTTCAAGTATTGACAAAAGCAAACGAAACGTATCATTTTGATATTCTTACAAAATATTTCTTGAACAAAAACTGTTTATATAGTTTTACATGATTTATTATCATTATAATGATGAATTACTTATTTTGTTTGTTATCACACATGGTACTTAATACTATCAACAAGGTATTGTATGTTTCATCATAGACCATTTCACTTTACATGACCTTTTTGTATGCAATTGATTATGGTATTAAACTACATTACATGTTAGGTGCATATAATACTCACCTTTTAAGTCTATTGCTTTGCGTCCTTTTGTAAACTTATAAATGGACTACTGTCCATCTACTTGTCCCTCACCGCTGTGGGTTCGAACACCAGGGACTTAGAATTCTTTCATGTGATGAAGATATCCAGGTCGGTAGGTCTACGCGTGCAAGGAGGGACACCAGAGGACTTCCTGTACATATAAAAATGTCCGTTAAATATCCGAATAAGACGATCTAAAAACTAATTAGGAGAACTAAAAGTATAATTTGTATTTGTTCTTTGTATTAAAAAAACTAATTAGAAGTAAGAAAGTTCAATTTGGATTTTTATCTTATATTAAGGCTTTTGAAGAAAAAGTTGATTAGACTGACCTCCCCTTAAAACATTGCAAATGGAGCAAGGGTTAAAAAGGGAGGTTACTGTTGCGGTAAAAGTGTCGGTTAGGGTGAGCTCCCTTGAAAACATTGCAAATGGCTTAAAGATTCAAAAGGGAGGTTACTGTTGCGTAAAAAAGTCAGAATGACCTCCCCTGAAAACATTGCAAATGGCGTAAGAATTCAAAGGAAGGGAACTGTTTCGCTCAAAAAAAAAGAAAAAAGATTACAGTGACCACCCCTGAAACCATTGCAAATGGCGCAAGGGTTCAAAAGGGAGGTTACTGTTGCGCTAAAAAAAGAGTCGGTTAGAATGACCTCCCCTGAAAGCCATTGCAAATGGCGTAAGGGCTCAAAAGGGAGGTTACAGTTGCGCTAAAAAGGAGTTGATTAGAGTGACATCCCCTGAAAACATTGCAAATGGCGTAAAGGTTCAAAGGAAGGTAACAGTTGCGCTCAAAAAAAGTGATTAGAGTAACCTCCCCTAAAAACATTGCAAATGGCGTAAAGGATAAAGGGAGGTAACAGTTGCGCTCAACAAAAAAGTTGATTAGAGTGACTTCCCCTAATAAAATGACAAATGGTTCAAAATAACGTCGGTAAGAGTGACCTCCTTTGATGACATTGCAAATGGTGTTCGGATTCAAAGAACTTTGCTTGTAAAAAGTTTTAAAAACTTTCATATTCAGTATTTAGTTCTAAATAAAATTTTATTTCTCAACACTTAATAATATTTTATTTCTCATAATTAGGAATTTATCTG